GATAGCCGCGCATTACTGGGCTATTTGAGTAATCTATGAAGCTATGTAATTTGTAGCAGCTATATAGATATAGATATAGATACAGATAGATACAGACTATATATATATTTGTGTGTAATAATTTCTTCACTGTCATCAAGACAAAACATAAAAAGAAAAAGCCATGGCTCTAGCTCTGCTGCTTTCTCTCTCTACAAATTCTGATATTTAAGGGAGAGAAAGAGAGTGAGAGAGAGAGGGTTTGTGTGCTTGAGAAAGGCTTGGAAAAAGATGCTCATCTTTATTCACTCATTTTATCCACACACACACACACACACATACAATTTTTTTTTTTTTATCACTCTTTTATTTATTTTATATAATTTGTTCCACAGAAAATTATTAGAAGAGAGAGAAAACGTACAGAAAAGGAGAGAATAAACAGAAACGGGTTCATCAAGAAAAGTATGTACTGAGGAATTATATTATTGATTTTTTTTTTCTTCATGTGTGTGTGTGTGTACGTGTTCTTGATGATGATATATATACTGATGTACTATACTTTATTTCTTCTATATACATATATATATATATATAATATTTTAATTAATTAAATAATTTTATATAAATTCACCTTTTTAATCCGAGGCTTTTGGATTGATCAAACAAGGGAAGTTCACTGATTTGACCCTCCTTTCCAAATCATTTGATGCAGCACCCCACGATTATATTTCTGCAACATATATATATATATATTTATATATATCTATATCTACAAAGAAATCAAACTTTTCAGAAGCAAGAAAAAGATGTGTTGTGTGTGTGTGTGTGTGTGTGTTCGTTATATATACATATATATATGTGTGTGTGAAAATGCCATTATCAAAGTGTGTCAGAAGATGTATACATACAGACAGCTGAAAAACGAGGAAACGTCTCCTTCCCACTAAAGATTAGGGTATACTATAATATATATAACTATATATATATATGGTGAAAATAACTAAATAAATAAATAAAAAATAAATTTAAGGAAGAAAGTTAGAACAAGCTGATTGTTGTTGATGAAAATGATGATGATCTATAACACTATTATTGAGAGCTACCTTTTTTATTTATTTCTCAATTTAAAAAAAAATAATAAAAAAAATAAATTGTTCTCTTTTTTCTAATGGGGTTTTGGATTGGTGGAAAGGGGTCCCCCACACCCCCACCCCCACCACACCCCCTCTTCTTCATTATTGATTTCTCTTTTGTAATCTTTTCTTATTTTTTCTTTTTTATTTATTTATTTTTAGGATTTATTTGTTGTGTAAAATCTTTTGGTATGATATATTGAATAATATTGTGTGGTGGAAGGAAGAGTTTGAAGATAAAGCAATTTAAATGGCAATGGACGCGGGACCAACTACCATAACACCTACTTATTAATGCACAAAAAAAGTTTTTCTATTGTTATCTACAATCTCTTTTTTTATGCATACATTAAATAATCTCTATACATAATAGTAAATAAATATATTTTAGGTGTATATTAGCAACAAAAAATTTCAAGCTGTCATAAAATACTAGAGATTAAACCTAACCGAATTAATAATAAGTGATCATATATTACGTGTTCATGCACTCAACTATTCTTTATATTAATTAATCACTTACCTGCAGTCTTGCACCAATATATGAAATTCCTCGCTCCTAGGGGCCTCCATCCCCAGAATCGAACAGATTTTTCTGATGAAATAATGTAAATTAAGATTACTCAACGTCCCCATTAGTATAGCGGACATAGGAATAGTGGCCATAAGGAACCAACGCTCGTTGGAGTTGAAATTTCCACACTACGGCTGCTAGTACTCAATTCGAAAACTTTACACCAACTTACCACCTCGAAACCAGTTTCAACTATACACATGCCGGCTAATTAATCACTACATGTATATATAAACTTGACAACATATACATAGTATTCTAGTAGCTAAGGTTAATTTAACTTTTGCAATAAAAAAAATTGGAAAAATATTTAAATGTACTTAATTAAAAAAAAAATGAATAAATAAATAAAATTGAACCATATTGGTGGCTAGCAAGAGGACCCCATCTACATGTTCATTGGTCAATGACTTTAAGAGCCAACTGTGGTCCTAGAAAAACCAATAACGCATGGAAAACACTTTATTTTATTTATTTTTTCTTTAGAAAATATCAATTTCCTTTTTTAATGTATACATATTAAATATCCTTGACCAAGAAATTTTCAAAGTCTTTCCTTCTACATTTGTCCTTGTAAAAATAAAATTATGATTAAAAAAAATAAGCAACTAGTAAAACATAAAAAAATCATCACCGCCTATTGAATTTTTTTGGGTTTTTTTTCTGTTAATTAATTTTACCTTTTTATCATTAATTGTGATGGCTGACGAATAGACACTAGACTTGAGATCGGAGGTGCAGTGTCTAATCAGTTTTAGTAATACTGTTTTGACTTCAAGCGTAATTTTAATTATGTTTTAGTTTTAGTTTGGTAAAATTTAAAGTCCGGAAATTGTAGTTCTTTGAGATAGCTTTCTAACACAACTTGGATCAACTTGATTGGATATTGGATCACAAAGTTATGTATTAATGAGTTACATTTTGAATTTTGGATAGTCAAAAACATCAAAATTGTGAGCAGTGTTCATAGATTCATGCATATCTTTTTCACCTGAAACCCAATTTTAGTGATTCAGGTTAGAATAAAAAGTTAATTTACAGAACTATAAATTCCACGTTTAGAGTTTTGCCAAATATACACTAAGGTGGTGTTTGCAAATGATTTTTGAAAGTGATTATGCGGTTTTTTTTGCTCATAATCTGTTTTTAGGTGTTTGCAAAATTAACTTTTGCTTTTGCTTCTCTTTAAAATAATCTGCTTTAAGCTATTTTTTTAAAAGCACCACTAACCCTGCTTTTTCAATTTTAGTTCATTTTCCGAAATATTTGCAAACACCCCCAACTTTTAGAAATAAGCACTTAAAACTAACTTAAATATGAAACAACATTTATCAAATCCCTGATTATGTAAGACATGGTTAATACTATATAAAACGAAATAATTAAGGAATGTGGTTGTGAGATTAATTAAAAAATGAATTGGGGTCGCGTGATAAACTGTCATTCTCCGATCAAATCAATATCAAAGTTTGTTTTTATTTGCCAAGAAACCCCTCACTTTCCTAAGATTCTCCCTTAAAGGCCTACAAAATGTTTTATCTTTATTTCTTTGTTTGTTTTTCTCCCCAGCTGTTGGGCTACAACATATGTAGATAGAGGCCATACTTCTATTCTAACACGAAAAAAAAGTGTACATGCAATCTATAATTATCCATTATACAAACATCAACATGTTACTACATACTTTTGGAAGCATAAATACCCATGTACCAATTTTTTTCTAGTACCACATTATAATTAGTTAGGACATTATATTCTTAATTAGTCATACCAAGATTTGCTTTTTTACAAGACAATTTTTTTTAATTTTTTTTTAAATCACCATATATGATTGTCTTCCAAAATACACAACAGCCTTATTTCGAGTTAGTCTTACTAAAATCTCGAAAATCGCATACAATACATATGAAAATATTTTACGGAAAATAATCCAATCGAGGTGGAAAATATAAGTGCATAAATGATCAATTTGCATTGAAATAAGATGATTTTGGGTATTATTTGCAAATTGTGGCCGACAATCACAATTCTATGGAACACGAAAACGTTTATACACGTTCATAACAATCCAAACACATATATATTCGGTTGAGTGTGTCTTTTCAATTTGAATTGACACATTTTCGATTGAATAAGTGTCTTAACACCCTCCTAATTCTTTAATAGCAACTTTTCACGAAATAAGTCTCCTATACTCTATTTGTCGATATCAATGTAATTGTCTTCTAGGTTGATCTAATAACCGAACGGATCGATTGATTATTTATCGACGAGCACACACCAATTCAAATCGGCTTGGAAGGCCAATCTTTATTTTGTTTGGTTCATTCTTTTTATTCTAAAATATAAATAATAATATATGTCCTTTTCAAATAAATAGTGTAGCCTAGAGGTGCAAACGAGTCGAGCTTGAGCTGATCAGCCTGTCAGATTTGACGAGCACGAGCTAAGAGATAAAATATTGCACATCCAGCATAAAAGATTGAAATCATGTTCTTTTTGAATCATCAACTACTTGTCTTAATTTGTCACTATCTTTTAATATTTCTTTATCATCTGTGCTTTTCAATATGAAACCAACTTCCTCGGATCCAGGATGTTTTTCTTCTGAACATCATTAATTAAAATAAGGTTGCATGGTTTCAGTAAAGAAAATATAAAAAAAAAATAGTAAACTTGAATTAATAACTTCATTAACACGGAATCAAAGTGCAATAGTAGTAATTAGTCAAATGTGATTAGTGGACTAATTAGTGATAATGACGCAAAATATATGACCTCTTTAGCAATAGTACTAAATATTTGTGTTAGCGAAAACAACAAGTGATTATTTGACATTGATGTTTCCTAGTCACAAAATTTATGAAATCTAAAATAAAATATTTTAAGAAAGCAGAAAAAGATGTGAGCACTGACAAGTAAATCTATTGTGGTAAATAAATTGTACAATGTCCGTACAATATATATTATTATACAATATAAAATGTTCCTTTAGTGGCCAATTTTATGATTAATTTTCAAGAATATTTATATATAAAAAATATATTTAAGTATTTTTTTAATTAGTGAAGCAGACATCACATCTCAAATATCCAGGCACGTGCACAGTGTCCTAAAGTGTAGAATTAGATTATATACCGTTTGTGTCAGAACCTTAAATAGTAAAAAAAATGAAAGAAAGAGAGTCAAAATCAATAAAATCATAGTAACATTATAAGTAATTCCTAAATTATCTGCCGAGCCGGCTCACAAAATTAAATAAAAAATTATAGTGGCATAACTGATATTTTCTTATAAATTTTGGAGTAAATCACAATTTTTACATACTTTTATTCAAAACATGGATCTCTATAGTTTAATTAGGCTTATATTATATATATTATCAGCCCCCCCTGGTTGATCAATTCAACGGAGTTGGTGAACAATTCGTGAAAACAGAGGGTGAGTCATACTAATATATATATATATATATATAT